CTTCCAACCCCACATTAATACCAGAAGTTGTTGTCACTTTATCACATTTTGAAACACCTTCTCTCTGGGCATTTACAGTTACGTGTTAAATGATCCTGCTGACCACAATTAGAACACTCTCTATCTGCTCCAACTTCACAAAGTTTCAGTTTACCTTTAATCACTTGCCTAGGGAAATTATTCCCGACCCAAACTTTCCTTTTATAAAACAATATCTTATTTCAATGTCAATCCACCTTACTGATTTCCAGAATCTTTGGACATAGCTGTCTTTACATTTTTACATTCATGATGAACGCAGCCACAACAGCCTGTTTGCTTTTCGCTGCCCTGTTCCACTGATTTCTTCACTAGCCTACCTTTAGACTGGTAGCGCTCAGTGTTCCCTCACTGGGAAAATCATGATACTTTATCAATTTTTCTATATCCACACATTTCTACCCATAATGTTTTCTCATTTGACACCGGTGTATCATATCTGGCAAGCTTGCTCTGAGATTTCCCCATACTGGCTGTTTCTATTTCCCCCGTGGATTTTCCGTTCGACGCGTCTAATAATCTGTCGGACGTCTCCAACAGATCCGATCTCTTAACCCAAGATCGGCCAAGGTGCACTACCAGCGCTTTATCTACTGGAAATCTTTTGACCCGGCTGCCCGATCTCAATTACCCCACAGATTAAAGTCCACCTGAAATCTCTTGATCTGTTTCCAGCTCTCAATTGATTTTGGACCGTAATCGCAAAATCTCTTGATCTGACCACAAATGTCTGCCCGATCTCAATTACCCCACAGATTAAAGTCCACATGAAATCTCTTGATCTGTTTCCAGCTTTCAATTGATTTTGGACCGTAATCTGGGCGAAATCTCTTGATCTGACCACAAATGTCAATTAATTTCAGATTTACGAAAACTCAGTGTCCATGTGAAATCTCTTGACCTGGCAACAGGTCTCAATTAATTTTGGACAATTCTTGTATCCGCACCACCGAAATAGACCCCAGCCAGTACAGTTGCTCTCAATTATATACCCAATATAAAATGAATTTAGCTGTCTCTTACCAGGATTTCTTTTTCTCTGTGCCTCGGGTTCTTTTTGATTCCAGTGGAGCCTCTCCTGGGCCTGATAGCGGTCGGCCCCTCTCTCTCAAGCTTACGAGGTAGAGCTGGAACTGCTCAGTCCAGGTGGCCAAACACCGTCCGCTCTCAGGTCCAGAAGGCACTTCCAAGGAATCCCACTTCTGACACCAATTGTTAAGGCAAAAATTCAATAAAACAGACATCGCTGCGTAAGAGACACTTCAGAGTCAAATTAATAAAAGAAAAGAGAAGTTTATTCTTGCAAGAATTATAAGGCTCAGTCACCAACACAGATTACTGCGAAGTGGAGTGACGCCCAGAACACAGGCCGGGGTGAAGACTAAATAGCCCTCCCCAAGGTTATTTACTACAGGCCAAGCCTTCCTGTAAAATTCCACAAGCAATGAATTCAAATGCTAGGTTAGATTTACTAACCCCCTCTACCCCTCCCAGTCTAAGATGACCCCTGACCCGGCCGGTCCTCTGGTGCCTAGTGTAACGGAGGCCAGCTAGTAGTTGCTGTGCGAGTAAACCTCACTCCCGGATCTCAATAGGCGCTCTAGCGACAGACGCTAGAGGCTGCAGTCTTTAGCCTCCTTGTTAGAGTGCCTGACTCTCATGCCGGAGACCCGGGTTCGAGGCCCGCTCGGAGCGGGTTGAGTGGGACCCGGGTGTGAGGGGTTACATTGGTGCCGTGACCCGGATGAGAGTGAGGTTTAGGGGGGTGAGTGTAACGGAGGCCAGCTAGTAGTTGCTGTGCGAGTAAACCTCACTCCCCGATCTCAATAGGCGCTCTAGCGACAGACGCTAGAGGCTGCAGTCTTTAGCCTCCTTGTTAGAGTGCTTGACTCTCATGCCGGAGACCCGGGTTCGAGGCCCGCTCGGAGCGGGTTGAGTGGGACCCGGGTGTGAGGGGTTACACTAGCTCCACTCGTGATAAGGGAGAACAAATCACTTCCTCCAAACCATAAGACATTCCTCCGTGGTTACATATAGGAGGTGAACACATAATATAGAAATAATGAAACATAAGATCCAATAATCATATTAATACATGTGAGATTAAAATTCCTCAACAGAGGAGAGAGGGCCGTCGACAATCAAGCACTGTTGTCCTGTAAGTGCTGACATTTGGCTTGTGTGCATTCCCCATGCAGACCTCTCCAACCAACACCCAACATGGGAGGGCCAAGTCGTAGTGAGCGATTTCTTGCTGTTTACTGTGGCTTTAACATCATCTTACATGACAGAGTGAAAACTGTAACAAAGAAATAAAGATTGACTGTTTGAACATAAATCTTGTGTGAAGAAAAATATCTGGATATACATAGTGTAGTCTTTTCTTTTTAAACACTATTATAACATTAACTTATTAACATAAAAATGAATTTTGTACTTACGACATTGCCTCTAGTGCTAACAACATATGGATTACATGTGCTTACATTCTGTAAGCTTCCTTACTTCTAGACAGGAAATTACCTCTAACCCCAAACTCCAGGTCTACATCATATCAAAATAAAGGTCCCTAATATTTTGTCTTAATGGCAACAACTAAGATTAGTTAGAAAGAAAGAAACATAGAATAGTTAGAAAGATAGATTATTTAGAAAGAAAGATATATTATTTAGAAAGAAAGATGGATAGATTTATTAGAAAGAAAGAAAGAAAGAAAGAAAGAAAGAAAGAAAGAACAGTTAGAAAGGAAGACATATAGATTAGTTTGAAAGAAATATAGATTAGTTTGAAAGAAAGATATATCTGTTAGAAAGAAAAAAGATAGATTAGTAAGAAAGAAAAAAGATAGATTAGTAAGAAAGAAAGATAGATAGATTAGTTAGAAAGAAAGATAGATTAGTTAGAAAAAAAGATTGGTTAGAAAGAAAGAAAGAAAGATTAGTTAGAAAGAAATATTAGTTAGAAAGAAAGATAGATTTGTTAGAAAGAAAGAAAGATTGGTTAGAAAGAAAGAAAGATAGATTAGTAAGAAAGATAGATTTTTTGAAAGAAAAAAGATAGCTAGATTAGTTAGAAAGAGAGAAAGATAGATAGATTAGTTAGAAAGACAAATAAAGATAGATAGATAGATAGATAGATAGATAGATAGATAGATAGATAGATAGATAGATATAGATAGATAGAAAAAGATAGATTAATTAGAAAGAAAGATTAGTATGAAAGAAAGATAGATTAGTAAGAAAGAAAGAAAAGTAAGAAAGAAAAAGAAAGAATTGTTAAAAAGAAATAATAAATAGTTAGAATAAAAGAATAGTTAGAAAGGAAGAGAAAAAAATTGTTAGAAAAAAGTAGAAGAAAAAAAAATTGGTTGGAAAAAAATAAAAAAGTTTAAAAAAGAAAGATCAGTTAGAAAGAAAAAGAAAAGTCAAAAAGAATGAATAGTTAGAAAGAAAGAACAAATAGTTAGAAAAAAAGAAAGAAAGATGATTAGTGAGAAAAGAAAGAAAGAAAGAAAGAAAGAAAGAGAAATAAAGTTGACTTTTCCAAGCCAACTTAATAATTAACCTTTGGCTAAGCCCCGCCCCCCTTAGTTACTGTTGCTACATCCGTCAAACTTCATCTGCGCTCTGCATGGCTTATGCTGTAACAGCTCTTCCTGCTGAAATGTTATCAAACTTTTATAAAGCAGCAAATAAAGTGTCCGATAGAAGTAGGCAAAATGGGCTGCAATATTCGTTCGAAGGCTATATCAAAGACATACAGGTGAAACGCAAGAAACAACAAGGCATCCAAATAGAGGCAAAAGCATAACGTTACCGGTCACAGTCAAAAAAAATTAACCACCGCATTTCCTACTAATCGAGACGGAGGCTGGGACTAACAATATCAGGGGGCAACACTGTTCATGCAAAGCTGGGTAGGTCTCTATTCACTTCTATAATCGTTATTACAAAGCAAACGGACTACACGAGTACTGTATAACGTTGTATTTATTAGCAGCGTGTGCTAGCGTATCAACAACCGGTATGAGAACCGAAATCATAACCTAAAACATTATAAAACGGTCTAACTAGTATAACTTCACACTCACAGTAAGGTTAGAAGTAAAAAAAGACGTGCTTGTTGATCTTTGCGGGGTTTAGTTGACTGAGGACGTCCATACAGTTTAATCCAAACACGACACTTGTCACTGTCAGGATTTTACTTCGGTTTTGGAAAGGGAAAAAACGGACACCCCCCTCCAACCTCTCTGGGAAACGCTGTGTCTGGGGTATCTGTGTTGCAAATGCCAGAGGCACAAGTTTAACCATATTTTGGATAAAACCACGACGGTAATAGCCTGCCGAGACCAAAAATATGAGACGCCTGTGTTGAAAGTCAATGGAGCACAGTGAAAAAGTGTCCGACCTCTGTGGGAGCTCGTTCTTGGCTGGGCTGTGATTGGTCAATCTAAATTCTAGGGCGTGGCTTACCCAAAGGTGAATTGTGTTTGCTGCATTCTCGTTTTTTGTAGCTTTTTAGCAAAAGTATTTCTTTTTCTGCTCACCGTGTTTCTGCTGTTGTCATCTGCAGCACTTAATGCTGTGCTTTACGTCTTTATCGGTAGAAAGCAACGCGCATGGAAAGGGCTTGAATGAAACGCATTTGGCTCTACATTAAAATATTAGATGATGTTATGCTGAAAGATCATTATCGTAAATGACCGCTTTTGACATAATTACCGCGGGACATAATTGAGTCATTTACCGTTTCTATAGTTTAAAGTAAGCAGAACTGCTTACTTTTAACTATAGAAACGGTAAATGACTCAATTATGTCCCGTGGTCCGGATAGAATTAAGGTCCGCCATTTGAATATCACTTTCATATACCATATCTTCTGACAGATGGAGGGATCATCAAACTCATGTTCAGATTAAGTTAAGATTACTCATTCTGTGCCTCTCTTTATGCCTTTCTTAGCTGCCCAGCTACAAGAACTTTAAAGGTATCATTCATGAGCTGGGACAGAACCAATATGTGGTCAGTGGAGAAGTGTCCGTCCTGGACAAAAATACCATTGAGATTATTGAACTTCCTGTTCGCACCTGGACTCAGGTAAGGTCACTGGTAGAAGTCTCGATTTTATGATATTAGGTGTATTTATTGGAATACCGTGTGCTAAAGATGCCAAAAGTGACGCCTTTTTTTTCTCTTTCTCAGGCATATAAGGAGTCAGTTCTTGAGCCCATGCTCCAAGGAACAGATAAAACTCCTCCTCTGATCAACGACTATAAGGAATACCACACCGACACCACAGTGAAGTTCGTGGTGCGCATGACAGAGGAGAAGCTGGCACAGGCTGAGGCGGCCGGCCTTCACAAGGTCTTCAAATTACAGTCGTCCCTCACCTGCAACTCCATGGTACGAATCTTCCCTCCTGAATCTCTTAAATCGAGCTAACAGTTTTACACCTTAATTATTAAAGGGACACTACACTCATTTGCATTAAGCTTTCCATTGTTAAGGCAACACTCTCTCATTTTCCCCTGAGATGAGAAAAATCCGCTATTTACCTTTTTCACTTCCTCCTACAATGACGAAAAAAAAAAAACGCCTATAGGGGGTTGAACCTAATGCGCTAACAGACCTATCACAGATAAGTGCCAGTGCATTTGATTTCACCAGCAGAAACTTTTTGAAAATATGGATGAAGCTAGGCAACTGAATATGCAGACGGATGCATTATGGATAGGGTTGGGTACCTGTTCCAATGTAAACAGTAATAACCAGACCGAATAAGAACGAAAATTTCGAGAGTCTCTGTGTCATGAGGCGCACACACGCAAAGTCTCTCGCTTTCCCCCCCGTGCGCGCACTATACAGTTTGGAGCACAGTCTGATCTGTCTCGCATGCGTGCTCTCGCTCACTCGCTCTAGATTCCGGGAGACTTTAACTAATTTGAGGGTATCAGGGAGCCGTTACCAATATTCGTGAAACTCCCGGAACGTATGATTGTGAGAGGATTAATGAAGATGCCGTAGACATAATGCTCCAAGGTTTTGCTGCATTTCACATGTAAAATTACCCGTCATAGTATGTGTGCCAATTGTATGAAATCTATAATAGAATCACGCCAATCCATTGACTGATGGCGCGGGCGCTGCCTTGACGCTCTTACGTCGTCATATTATATTAGCGTGCATTATCTGATTTCATTGTGCAAAATGATTTCTAGGCAGTAGCGTAGAGTGGAGCTCAACTCTAATCTACATTGATGGGCGGAGTAGTGGGAGTTGCCTGTGGAGCTGAGCTTTACAATGCACTATGGGGACTGTTGTCTACAGTCCACAAGCACTAAGAAGTCATTTTCTGCCTTTTATCGGCCTAGAAGGACCCAAATTAGAAATGTATGATACTATTCTACTACATATATGACCCACTTTCAATATATATTAATGTCTCCACCGGTGGAATTACCCTTTAACATCAACAATTTGAGAACAAAGTATAATCTGCACACTTTGACGTGATATGATTATAGATTGTTTGATTTGATCATCATGATTTACTGCAATGTTTTTTTTTTCCTTCAGTTGTTCAGAAAAACAAAAGTGACATTTTAGGGTGAAAATTCTTATGTTGGTCATATATCCATAAAGTAGAATCTGTGATTCTTAATGACAGTATCCACATGGTGATTAACAGCTGCACATTCTCCTCAAAACATTGGATTCATCCACGCTGTGCCATGCTGAGGTACAACTCATGTAAATTTGATAATTCCGCGAATGAATGAAGAGATGGCGACAAAGAGGAAAAACTGTGGACTGCAGCTTTAAGTAAAACATGGTCAGGTCATTTCTAAGTTTTACTGGTAGTCCACTGTATTAATAATTCTTGGGTATAATATGTAATAGGGGTGGCACGGTACATGAAAAAACAATGTAGCCTCGTGCCCGTATGTAACGTGTGTTTTCTTTTCGCGCGACATAAGCTTGTTCGACTTGGACCGGCGCTGCACAGAGCGACCGGTAACATCACACTAGCGCGAGAGCGACGGCTCCGTATGCTTTTCAATCACTTTCGCGGTATTTGATGTCATTACCGATCGCTCTGTGCAGCGCCGGTTCAAGTTAGTAAACAAGCCAGTAAAAGTGGAGTATGGAGCGCTGCAGGTGAGAGATGTGGGAGAGATGCAAGTGGGAGTGGGAGAGATGAGGGAGTTGCAGGATGCGCCAGCGTCGTATAAGTCTATGGTATAAGTCCAGTGTGTGGGAACATTTTGGATTTCATGTTATGATATTTTAATATAACGCTACAGTGGCACTTTATGTTTCGATAAGAGCTTCAGTCAAATGTTTCCAAATCCTGCACTTTAATTTCAAGTGAAAAAAACATACCCTCACTCTCTGGGAATAAAAAGCATTGTTGATACTGTCTTTTGTGTTGAGGTTGAACTTATGTTTCACTTTATGTTTATGGCCTTTGCTATTGCCTAATTATAGGCAATGAGGTTTCATGTATATTGACTTATTCATAAAAGACAGTGTTTTAAGAGTTCATCTTTTTTTCTTTTAAAAGATAGAATTTTTGTAAGAGCTACAAAAGTTGGCAGTTGATAAATGCAAGTTAATTTCTTTGTGTAAATAAGATTTGTGATAAAAATGCACAAGTTCTTGTAGACATAGTGATACACATTCTCTTTTTTTTTGCCAAATAAACGAAAAGCATGTCAATGTCTTCTCTCTTGCTGTGTCAAAATCTCACCTAGCTTTCCTCTGAGATAGTCCCAAAATGTGCTTAAAGTCAAAGAGTCAAATTCAGTTTGTGCATGATTGCATGAATATAATTTTTTTTTATACTGTATGCTTAAGTGTGGATAATTAAGCTATATATATCATGCTGAAGTACATTTCTGAAGTGTTAAAGATTAAAAGAAAAAAATAACAAGAACCGTACAGAACCGAAAACCGTGACCCTAAAACCGTGATACAAACCGAACCGTCGGTTTCGTGAACCTTGCCACCCCTAATATGTAACAGTTTACTTTATTTTGCTATCCTCTCTTAATAAATTAACTATAGTGTCCCGCACCCACTAGTAAAAAATCTGGTGTCTGAATAATTTTTGGTTTGACTGTATATTCCCATTCATATTTACATTTTTGACTTCTCACATAAGTTTAAATATGGCTTACCTGGAGCTTGTAGAGCACCAAGCAACGCCAAGGTCATGGGTTCGATTCCCAAGGAAAGCAAGAACTGACAAAATGTAAAATATGTATCTCGAATGCAATGTAAGTTGCTTTGGATAAAAGCGTCTGCCAAATGCATACCCTAAAACAGGCTTTTATTTTCCCAAATCGTCAAACTGCATCGGCTTGTATTTGAGACAGGCGTCAATATGAGACAGGCCTTTATAATTTAGTGTTGAGATGTTTTCATTGAGTGTAGGCCTAGAGTCTCTAATCTCCAAATGCTCCATGTGAAACTGCGGTCTTCGGACCTTTTACTATCGTGTCAATTGATTTTGATTAATACGCGCAAGGGAGAGAGAGCAAGACAGCGCTCGTGTTGTTTGAAGAAGCAGTCATTCTATTCTACATCATTCACCGATCAAAAAAGGCGTTGGCTGGACAAAAATTTGCTTTGGCGGCTACCAAAAAGCGAAAAATCTGATGGGGTCTAGAAAAAAGAGGCGTGTAAAAGAGACAGGCGTCTATTTGGGACTCGGCTAATATTTGAATTTTTACGGTAAATGTAAATGAAATGAGGAAACACAAAGGCCAAATTTCCTTAATCACAATGAGTAAAACCAAAGAATATAGTTCTGATGTGCAGCAAAAGATTGTTGAGCTTCACAAAATAGAATGTGGCTGTAAGAAAATAGCTAAAGCATTGAAAATTCCGATTTCTACCATCAGGGCAATAATAGACCTTTCCCACAACTTCCGTATTTGTGACCGGAAATACGCAATTGTCATGGTAATCATCTTCCGCTCCAGTCAGAACAGATAGCGCAGGCAACTAGTAAGAGTTGTTCCGTACTGATATTTTGTTCGTATTTCGTATTTTTTGTTATTCCCAAAAGCAGCCATGTCTGCCATTTTCATTCCTTCCCTCGTCAGTTCTCTGTTGATGAAGTTCGACGGAAATGGATTCAGGCTATCTGGCGGGATGTTATTGATCCTGTGATCTTCTGTACTTCTCATGTCACCATTCACTAAGCCGTCATTGTTTATGTTTATTATTAGGGCCCAAGCCCTGAAAGGGCGAAGGCCCTATTGTTTTCCTTAGGATTATTATTATTATTAGGGCCCAAGCCCTGAAAGGGCGAAGGCCCTATTGTTTTCCTTGCGATTATTTTTCTTCTCTATTATTATAATAATTATTATTTTACTACCTTTTGGGCACTTTTGGGGCCCTTAACGTGCTCGAAAACTCTTGAAACTTTGCACACGGGTCAGAACCCGCGGCCATCAGAGCCGGGCTGAAGATGGTACCCGGGCGTGGCAGGGCAGCTCGTCAGCGCCCCCTGGAACGGGGTCCGAACACTTGGTCCATAACTCAAACACGCTTGTATGTAATAATATGAAACTTGGTACACACGTTGATCTCATCGTTTCATCTATACCTCGCGCTCTTACTTTTTACCCCAGCCCAACAGGAATTTGGCTATTGAGGTTTGTTTGTAAAACGCTCGCAATGGAATGTCAAATACTCCTCCTAGAGCTTTGATCCACATTCGACGAAACTCGGTCAGCGTGAAGTCAAGACATTGAGGATGAAAGTTTGCGAGGGGATTTTTATATCTCGAACGGTTTGTCCGTGGCGAGGAAACGAAATCATGGCGAGAAACGTGAAACAGGAAGTGTGTTATAACTTCAGCATACATTAACTGATCTTGATGAAACTTCAGCAGTGTGTTCGCTGTAAGAGGACGATCACATGGATGTGACTATTGTGAGTCAAAGTTATAGCGCCACCAACTGGCAGCAGGAAGTGTGTCACTTTCAAAATGCTTAGATATCACCCTTTTATTTTTACCCGATTTGCTTCAAACTTCATATGTATAATGTAAACATACGGCAGATGTAGACCTGTGAATGGATTCTTGATATCTTTGAAACTGTTGCCGTGGCGACGCATCAAACTTTACCCTTCTTTTAGGATGCTTTTAGGATGCTTTTGAGACCCTTAGCATGCTTCAAATTGCATGAAACTCGACAGACACATCACATTTATTAGCCAGTAGACATGTGCAAAGTTGCAGAAACGGGCGTGGTGAGGGCTCAGTAGCGCCACCTTTTGACAAAAGTGGGGTGGTTAGTTTTAACTAGAGTTACAAAAATTGGTATGTATATTGTACTCCTCGAGCCGGACAACTTTCTAATTGACACTTATTAGCTAGGACCCACAGA